TCAAGTAATTTGTCCATTGTATTTAAGTTGTCCAATTTATTGGCATAAGTTGTTCATACTATTCTCTTATTCTATTTTAGCATCTGTATAATCTGTAGTGTTGTCACTTTTTTCATTTCTGATATTGGTAATTTATAACTTTCCTTTCTTTCTTTCTTTTTTAACCTGATCAGCTTGGATACTGAATTTTTAACTTTATAGATCTTCTCAAAGAACAAACTCCGCTTCACTGATTTTTCTCAATTTTTTTTTTCCGTTTCACTGATTTCACTTTTGATCTTTATTATTTCCTTTCTCCTGCTTTCTTTGGGTTTCATTTACTCTTCTTTTTCTAATGTGCTAAGGTAGAAGCTGAAGTCATAAATTTGAGACATTTCTTCTCTAATACAGGCATGGAGTGCCAAATATTTGCCTCTAAGTACTGCTTTAGGGACATCTCATAAATGTTATGTTGTGTTTTATTTTCATAGTCAAAAATACTTTCTAATTTCCTTTGGGCTTTTTTTCTTTGAGCCAATGAAATATTTAGAAATGTGCTAAATTAGTTATTTGGGAATTAACAGGAAGCTGTTATTCATTTCCTTGTGGCTAGAGAAGATACTTTGCATTACTTGAATCCTATAAAATTTACTGAGACTTGTTTCATAGCACCTTATAATAAGGTCTGTTTCGGTAGATGTTCTGTATGTACTTAAAAAAAGTGTGTTCTGCTGTTGTTGGGTGAAGTGTTCTATAAATGTTAAATAGGTCAAGTTGTCTGACAGTGTTATTCAAATATTCTCTATCCTTTCTGATTTACTGTCTATTTGTTCAATCAATTACTGAGTTGTGTTGAAGTCTGACTATAAATATAGATTTTTTTTTAATCCACAAGGACTTTTCCTGGTAGTTTCATCCAGGTTTGCTTCACATATTTTAAATTTTGTTACTAGGTGCAGAAACAGTATTCTTATGTCCTCGTGGCTAACTAACCCTTTTATCACTATTAAAAAACTCTTCCTTATTCCTTGTCTTAGTTTTGAAATCTACATGATTTGATCTTAAAATAGTCACGTTAGCTTTCTCTTGAATAGCTGTCTTATTTTCTTAGCTATAATAAGTTCAGAATAACTACTGTAAATATGTCATAAAAAGTTATGAGATACTAAGCGAAATAAAAGTAGCTCTGGGAATACTTTCCTCTTCCATTATGGAAAGATGCATAAGGAATCCATTGATCAGATTATAAACAAAATTAGTTCTAGAATTCAGGAATTTTTTTTCCTGACCATTTATCTTTAGAAACTAGCAGTAATGATAGTAAAGGCTCTGAGGATTCAAGCACTGAAGACAAAAGTTTATTTTAGATAGTTCAGTGTTTCTGTACTACCACTATTAAAACTATTCACCTCTATTTACTGAGGTTCCTTCTGAGACAGGATACTGAAATATACACAGGCATAGCAGGGAAAAGAGTTTAAGTTTTTGCAAAATAATAATTTCTTGGGAAGTGATACAACCAACCTTTGTAGTACAAAATAGAAGGCAAGAAGGTCCTTATGTACTTACATTTTGGAATGATCAGCAAGAGTGGTTGTCTCTTGTGTAGCACACAGGTGTCAGAGGTCATGATCCAGTGTTTAGAGACAGCTTTAGGATAGTATGGAAGACTAGACATCCTAGCAGTGCCAGCCTACTCGGCTAGATGTTCATGTGCCAATCTGCCACCAGGTTGCAGCAATCCCCGCTGCTTTTAAATACTTAACCATGCAGTTCCAACCCTAGACCCATTAATCTAAATTTCCCATTCTCTCTTGTGTCTTCCAATCAACCACTTAGCAAGTATCTTCTGCAGCTCTCTTATAAAAAGTACATTTTGAGCCAAATATAGGCTTTACTCCAATTATCCTGTGGATTAATTTAAGCCCTATGTTTATGAAGCTTGAAACCACCATTTTAAGTCGTTCATTTGAACCTGATTCTAGCAGTAACTCTCCTAGGCATTTTTCAGTGTTAATCATTCTTAAATAAAATCACATATGAATTTAACATAAATACTCCTAAACAAACAAAACAAAAACCAAACTAAGCCAAAATCCTCCAAATCTGTCAAAATACAACATTTCTGTACTGAACTAAAAGAATATTGTTAAATATTAAGGGATGAGATATGAGGGAAGGACCACTTTCTAATTATATGCAAGTTGCTGATTAATGTTAACATTAGGTAAATTGAATGAGGAAAAAATTTTCATACTCTTGAATTTCTTTGGTCCTTTGTAAACAGTAAAATCATTTTACTTGACTTTATGCATACTGTAACATAAAAACAGCTTTTGAGATATTTGCTACTACCACTTACAATTCAAAAGCAAGTTTCTTCAGGAAGTTCAAAGCACAATGCAAAACCTTAATAATCTTGAAACTGTAGTACCACCGGACAGCAAGCATGTTCATATATACACATACGTACAGTGAGTCAGTAAGAGCTTATAATCCTTGTGCTGTTCTATCTTTTTCTGCTCCTAGAACTGGTGATATATTTTCTAAGGCTTCACAGGTCTCAGTCTTTTCTAATTTGTGTCAATAATTGATTATGCTGCAATAATTTGCACCAAAAATTGATTTATTTCTCATTTAGATTTCTTTTCTTTTCAATGAAAGATATTAAACCAACATTTAAAAATATGCAGTGTAATAGAAGCAAATATGTAGAGACAAAATAGAAAACAGAACTTAGACAAAAATAGGTTTTGAGCCTTGTTTTTTGTAACATTTCTTTCTTCCCTTTCATGTCTCTATTTCATAACAGCGAAACAACTAATTATGTAAGTACACTAAAAATTATTTACTTTCTCCTTGTTCATTATTTTTATTCTATCATTAAAAAAAATAGACTCACCATTCTGTATCTAACTTTAACTTAACTATTTTCATTTTTGATTAGTGTGTCCCAGTTTAAAGACCCTTTTGTTTTACCCTGTCTAGAAAACAGACCTGTGGCAGTCTGCTGAGGGAACAGGGCTTCACACAGTAGGGGAAGGGAACAGAGCATCTAATTACTTTAGGTTTTTAACCACTCCCTCTGTTTTTAGCCTTAAAATCTTTCTCACTTTCAGAGATTCTAAGGATACTCATTATCAAGACTTTAGGAGGTTTTAAAGTGTATAATCATGTTATTTCTCAGCTTTCCACACTGTTAAAGGGTTAAAGCTTTCTTAACTGAGTAGTCCATGTTCACTAAGTCATCTGCTTTTCAGCAAAATTTTCTTACTCTTATTTTCTTTGTCACTGTGGATATATGCTTTTAAAAAATTCTTCTACTATCATTTTTGTGTTGTTTCGGCAGGGAGCAAAACTAAGTGTGTATATCCAAGCAGCTATATTTACCTTGGAGCTGTATATAGTCGTATTCACTGTTACTCTTGTTTGCCTGCTTTGAGACTCTACCCTCTTCTGCCTTCTCAGCTTGTGCCTGGCATTCAACTTTTTCGCTTACCTTCACTGGACATAATATGGAAAGTTTAAAAATTTGTAAAGTGTTTATTGTTCTCTAATAACCTAAAATAAGGTAAGTTTAATCTTTCTGTAGTTCTCTCACCCCATGCCTAAACCCGTATTTAAACAAATTGCATGTTGCTTCTGTGTGAGAGTTACCATAATGGCATTTTGTAGTTTACAAAATATTTTCACACACATCATCACATTTTATCCCTAAAAACCCCATTGCGAGGATAGACCACTTTATACACAAGATGAGAAAGAAACGGTTAAACAGTTGGTTTGAAATCTGTTCTCTTTTTGAAGGGAGAGGAGGAGGCCCCAGGAAAGAAAGAAGGTAACTTGATCAAATTTCTTTGTAATAGACCTCCTGGAAACAAATTAATAGTATTTGCTAGCCAGAGAATCATTTTTTGTGGTTTTTTTGAGGGGAGGGTGTGTTAAAAACAGAAATTTACTTCTTCACAGTCCTGAAAGCTCTAAGTCCATGACCAAGCTGTTGGGAAGAGAATATCTGCTTATAGCACAACATATCTGGTTTGTCTAAGGCTGTTAATGATTAAGTAATCCTGGAATCTATGGATTTATGGGGCATGGCTCCCTGGAAGATGTAACTATCTGGATACAAAACTGAGATGTTTCATGACCAAAATGACTTTCTTTTGCATAAGTAATGTAGAAGCCTTTTGTGTTAACCTTGGCCAGAGTGAGTACCTGGGGGTGGTGCTGGTAGTCCCAGAACTCTTGCTGCTTTGCCCATGCCTCACGACCACGCCTCACGACCACCTGTATACTTGAACTTACAGGTGACCCTTGAACAATTCAGTGGCTAGGGAAAGTGCCCCTCCATGCAGTCCAAAATTCAAGCGTAACTTATAGTTGGTCCTCCATATATGCAGTTCCTCTGCATCCATGGTTCTGCCTGCATCAGGGGATTCAACCAACTGCAGCTTGTATAGTATTGTAATATATATTATTGAAAAAAATCAGCATAAAATTAATCTATGCAGTTCAAACCCCTGTCGTTCAAGGGCCAACTGTACTAGTAAAGCTTGATACTGCTAACATCTCTGATTTGAATGAGTGTGATTTGACAATCTGATCCTTTGTGTTATCTCACAAGGAAAATAAGGTTCGGAGTGAGTAAGTGACTTGCTAAAAGTCATCTGCTAAAAAGTAGCCAACAGACTTGAAACCAAATCTTAAATCAGACTCTCTGTACCATGTGACACATTCAAGTGAGATGAGAAAACAAAACAAAATAAAACACAATAAAACCTGGTTTGTGGAATCAGAAATAGACTTGCCTCCTGGTTCTATCACTGACCAACTGTTTTGATTTGAGGCAAATTACTTGCAAAGTTTGAAGACTGTTCCCTTACCTATGCAGTACTTCCTACAGAAGATGAAAAAGATACTTTAATGATAAATTCAAGAGAACAACAGATACACATGACATTATATAGCAGAACATTTGAAGACACTTTTAAAGGATGGAGGGGGAAAGGAGTATTGCTTACTTTTTTCTTGCAGTGCCTGTAATTTATTCAGTTCTTCGTTTTCCTCATCACTCTCTTCACTGCTGGTGCTGCTGACATCCAAGACTATATCCCTTTTGGGGTCCACTCGGAGAAAATTGCGGCATTCAAAAGTCAGGTGACCAGCTGAGTAAAACACATAAAAAATGTAAACGCAACACTGTGGATGCATTGTGTATTTTTTGTTTTGTTGTGTCATAACAAGCAACAAGTTATAATTTTAATAATATAATGTTGAGTTTTAACTTTTATTCAGTGAGTGGTGGTTTGCTTTCCCTGAATGTTAGTACTCAGAGAACTTTTTCTTTTTTTTATCATGGCTTCTAATTCAATAAGCATTTTTTCTGGCTACTTCTTATGGACTTCATGGTATTGAATTACTGTATTTTCCCTTTCTATATACTAGAGAAAATATCCTCTACCTAGGATCTTATATTTTATTCCTTTCTCATTCCTTTTCCCTTCTCAGCTTGACTACTATACTCATGGAGTTACACAGCTTTCATCTAATTTCATTGTATAAAAATATTATTTATCCTTTCTACAATCGATAGGCTGCTAAATTGCTTCTAGTATTTTGCTATTATAAATAATGCTGAAAAGAGTAGCTACACATGCCTCTTTGTGCATGTATGCTGCGACTTCTCTAACACAGTAGCTTTCAAATTTTTTTGACTAGGCCTGACTGATGGTAAAAATAACAATGCAACTAAGTATACTCATGTATACGTTCTTATACAAATATACACTAGCCCACAAGATTTAAAACAATACATGAAGCATTATTACATTTGGTATTAAAAAAAAAACAGCGCTGACAGTAACCACATAATTGATTTCACAACCCACTCATGATTCACCACAACCCAGTGTTAGGATTTATCTCTAGTCGTCTCTTACTTGAGGGTGAAGTCCTTTGAAAGTTCTAGATTTATACAAGAGCACCTTCTATCGGAGTACCAATTTTGGCAGGGCCCTGCACCTTGCCTTTATTCCCTGCACCCTGCCAATCCAGAGAAATAGAATTTTAAGAACTCTGGGTTCAGCAAATACCTCAAGACTTACCTCCTAGAGTTTCTGTTTCCTTTGGTTGTTGGCCTCCAAGTATTCTTTAATTCTTTATTTTCTTCCCAGCACACCAATATATAACTAATATGTATTGCATATTTTGTACATGTTTCTCAGTTGTTTACAGGAGGGTCCAGTCTGCAATACTGCTGGAAACAAGTCTCTGTTGAAATTTCCTTCCAAATGAATCATTCAGAAGTGTTCTTTTTAGTTTCTCAACACTGGGTTTTCAGATCATGCTCTTGTTGATTTCTAAATTTTTTACACTGTTATCAGAGAATGGCGTCTGTATTGATACCAGTTCTCTGGCATTTGCTGAGATTTCTTTTATGGCCTATTATGTAGCAAATTTAGAGAAAAATTTGGTATGTCTTTCAAAAGAATATAAATCACTGTTGAGTGGGGTTCTATATCTATCTTGCTGTTCAAATTTCCATCTTTTTTTGTCTAATAACTTCTGACCTTTATCACTATACATCTGTCAATTTCTCCTTGTAATACAGTTTTTGCTCTACATGTTTTGAGATTGTATTAATAAGCACGATCAAAACCATTATTATTTTCTCTTCTAGGCTGATTGCTCTTTAATCTCTATCCTTAAGTACTGTTCTAGCCTTGAAAGTCTGATATTAAAACTGCTCTACTCGTGCTCTTTTGATTATTATTAGTTGAATCATATGAAGTTGCAATTTTTGGGCATAAAACAGCTGAATATCCACAATATTCAACATACTACCTACGTGTTCTTTTTTCCCCATCCCATTATTTTGAAATTTTCTATGTAATTTTTACTTTTCTAAGTAGTTTCACTAGTAATGACATGCAGTTGGACTTATTTTTTAAATTTAATTTGAAACAGAACAATTTTTCATGTTTTCTCAGCCTGGAAAAAAGTTCCTGCCTCACTGAAGGAAGTGTATATTCACTCCTCATACCTATACATGGTGTAAGAAGCTTGGGTTGCCAAATTTTTATTACTCTTTTCTTTCCAATTATTATTTTATGGAAACTTAAACACACAGTAAACTTTCTCACCACTTTCCCTAGACAGTAAATGGAGTTCTTTGAATCCCTGCCTCATAGCTTTTTTTGAGCTTCAACCAGGAGCCTGCTCTCCAGCCACGCTGCCACCCGACAGGTGTCTAAGACTTCATTCTGTATCCCATAAAGGTCTCTCCAGTAGGCCTGTGGACCTCACTGTTGTTCTCAGCTATCATTCCTTGCTCTGGCTTCATCCTCCCTTCCCGTGCAACACCTGGGAATTTCCTTTTTATTCTTTTCAGCTGGGCTATTTTTGTTGTTGTTACTCTCTTTTTCTCCAGCATCCTTGTGTTTGGAGCAGAAAGGAGGGGACTTTATACACTGGCTCAGCTTGCCATTTTGATCAGAACCCCTGATGATACAATTTTTTCTTTACTTAAGCTTGCTTTTCATCCAAATACCTTATGCTGTAATGAATATTTAATAAAAATAAAATATTTAATTAATAACGACACGGGTAGCAGGCTGTCTTACACTCACTTTAAAATGCTTTACTTCAATGAAACGGACCCTAAATTGATAAGACAAGTTGCTTGTGAATCTACACATAAAGTTTCCTTTTAATTTTTTTTAAATTGGGGAATAAGTGAAAGAATTTAGGAAATAATTGTATTCCAAATTATAGTTCTTTTGACTTTTCTAAAAGACCCTCGAAAGACAATGAGCAGAAAATTCTTAGGTGACCAGAAACTTAAATTTTAACCACAGATATGTAGAGGCATTTCAAGTTATAACATTTCAGTAGCTGACTGTAAAATGTAACATGGCTTTTTCAGAAATGGAAAAGTTGATCCTTAAATTCATACAGAAACCCAAGGTACTTGAATAGCCAAAATAATCTTGAAAAGAATAAAGGTGGAAGACTCACATTTCCTGATTTCAAAACTTACCACAAAGCT